GTCCCCTGCCCTCCATAATTTTCAAGCCGCCAGGTCTAGCACTCAATCTGTGGTAGGCCATGTTCCCACAGACCTGGTTAGGTTCCCATGTAACCGCTACCCTATCTGCTGGCCTCTGACCACTATATTTTATATCCTGCCAATCCAGCACCCTCTGTCTCTGTATTTAAACCTTGTGAGCTCTGGGTTACTTTTTAGATTTCTATTCAATCTCTTCTGACCACAATATTTTATATCCTGCCAATCCTTACAGCACCCTCTGTCTCTGTATTTAAACCTTGTGAGCTCTGGGTTACTTTTTAGATTTCTATTCAATCTCTTTCAGTATCTGGGATGACCTTCACATTTCTACCTCTTCTCTCTTAACGTTTACTTTTTCAGAGAGACAGAAAGAGGAACCCTCCCTCAACAGGGTCTTTCGTGTCTCCAGTCACTCCCACTGTCAGCTGGTCTGGATCACGGGAACAAATATTGCTCACATCTGTGTTTATGAGGCACACATGCTCGGCGTGAGTTTTAAACCTCTGTGTCCAGGACTCAAACCACGGTCGGCTGTGTGGGAGTCCAGTGTCTTATGCCATCAGCTGGCCCCAACTTCCTGAAACTTCTATCTCATGATACAGGATTATTCATACACTCATTTATTCATAGTATTTACTGAATGGATCCAATATTCCAAGTACCTACTAAAAACTGAAGGCACATACTTTCCCAAAGCTCCCAGTTGTGTTGGAAAAACTTTAGTTGTAACCTGGTACTGTTATTATCATAAAATTTGAATAGAAAATGTAAGACATTATTTTTCCAGAGACTAAATTCTTAAAAAAATCTCTTCCAGTTCCAGTCAGCTCTCAGTAATTTTAAAGAAAAAAAAAAAAAAAACCATTATTTGGAAAGGACACTACACATTAAAAGAATCTCAATTAGTGCCACTTGTGACAGTCTGCAGAGGTCTAAGGGAATCAGTTAAAATAAAGGACAAAATTATAACTTCATACTAATAGCTACATTTTGGACTATGACTTTATACTTGCAAGTGTTGACTGTCATTGTAAATATGCCTTTAAAGGATGATGTGTAAAAAGGAATAGAGATTGTAGTGTGAACATTGTGA